GTCCGTACAAGAATAAATCAGCGGACTCATTGCCAAGGTGATTCGTTGCGAGTCTTATTCCGAACCACTGTTCGTGGTTTCCGGTTTACTCGATTGGATAATACGCCGATTAACCATCGATCGTCCATCGATCTTTTCCCCGAACGTAAATTCCGTTAAATCATCTTCGATCCAAGTTATATTTAATAAGCGAAATAATCAATGGAAAGAAAAGCAAGTTTGTCCGTGCACGAGGAGGGAGGAGGAAGGTTCGTCCAATTCCTAAAATCCCCGCTCTATTGGCGGTTTTTCCTCTTACGTAAGCTCGGAGGAAAAAAGGAAATGGAAGGCCACGACAGATCCTCCAGTTTACGCGGGAAATGTGGCATGAATTCTCGTATTTGACAGAATCAAGACGCAAAATCTGTTTCAAATTTATCCGTTCAAAAAGTGGATTACTTTCCACTTCTCTCGAGATCTCTTGGAATCCCGACGCGAACGATCCACTCTGTTGATCGAAGTTGCGCAATTTATATAATTGCGATCGACAAACTTTGGATCCGCGTGGACGAAAAGGAAAAAAAAGAAAAAATAGTTCAACTTTAAATATCCTTTCACCGACAGAAAATACGATTTCTTAGCTTCTTAAACGTTTTACGATTAGGATCTTCTCTCAAAAAGGCAAAAGTGATTTCTCTTCCGCATCGCGGAGAAATTATGCCGCGTGAGTAATAATGATAATAATTAAAGTCGAGCAGAGAGGAAAGATTCTCGCGAGAAACAGCGCAATATTCCTTTCTCCCGGGAATGCATTCGCGAGTGAAACGATTCCAAACCACCTTTCGACTTATTGCTGCGCACGTTTGAGCGAAACGCACAACGATGATGGTGGTTCGATATTTTTCGCTCCCAGCCAGCACCGTTCGAAACGCGCCAACATCGGTGTAATCGAAAACGCTGACTTCGCGTCCGACAAACGTCCGTTAACGATCCATAAAGCGACGACGAAATGCCACGGCGTCGTCTTACGTCCACCTTTTCATCGAGTTAGTCGAAACGAGACGTTTCGCCAATCGTTCGCCAATCTTGCGCGCCCGTGTCAATTCGAACAGCATCCGAATCGTCGATCCTCTAACAAATTGCCTATTTAATAACAGCCGTCAGTCGTATCGGCGTATATATAAATTAGAACCTCGATGTTACTTCGTCGCGTTATATTCTCTCCGCTAATTCGCACGATTTGAATCTCCAAAGAGATTTTTTTGCAAGGAAGAAAAAAAAGGGGGACTCGTCGAGAATTTCGTCGACTCTTATCCTCGAGAATCGAAGGAATTCAAGAAGGAGAGAGAGAGGAGGGGGAGGGGGGGGAGCGACACGCG